AATAAAGACCCTCCAATATGCAAAATGATGGATAGGTCACCTGAATAAATGAAATTACTCACAAGGACCGGGTCTCAAATTGCCATTATGAAATCATGGTCAAAATTACCAAAATACCCCTCTTTATTTTTTTTTTAAAGAAAGCCACTGCCTCTCCGGAATCCGACGGCCGGACGCGGAGCCCCACCACCCGACTGCCAGCCACCGGAGCTCCAATGTCAGCGCCGGTTTCGGCCACTGCCGGTGGCCTTCCTTTGTTTTTTTTTTTGCAACTGTTTTTTTTAAAATAGGAGAGAAGCGAGGTTGGGGGGATTTGATCCCCCAACCTAATGCTTCCCAAAATTAGGAATGCCCATTGAGCCAACAATTTTTGTTAACATTATAATGCAAAAAAAAAAATATAAGTTAACTCATTTACTCTTGTTCCAGGTGATAACAACAATACATTTAGAAATAACAAGTTTGATTATAAAAATAACAAGTTTGAATTAAAATTTAACAGCACCTTTTTTTATAACAACACATTTTATTTCAAGTGATAACAATAATACATTTAGAATAACAAGCTCTGATTATAAATAACAAGTCTGGAATTAAAATTTAACAGACCTTTTTTTTATAACAATAATTATTTTATACTTTTGAAAAATAAATTATTTATAACTTATAAAAAGTATTTGTAATCTATTTAATTGCTAAAAAAATAATTTTTATCTCCAATTTATAATCAGAACTTGAAGTAGAATAATTATTATAGATTAAAAATACTTTTTTATTGTTCAAATTTATAAATAAAATTTAGGGAAAATAGCAACACACTTGTTTTATTTTTTTTTAAAAAAAATTCTATATATCTATACAACTCATTATAAATCAAACTACTTCTTATAAATTATAAATAGTACAATTTATTGTAGATTAAAAATATTTTTGACTGCTTAAATTTATAAATGAAATTTATCTCTAATTTATAATTAAAAATACGATTTTATTCTTTAAATATAAAAACTATTTTAATATTTAAAGAATGAAATACTAAATTATACTATAATATTTAAATACTTAATAATAAATTTTAATATTTAAAGAATGAAATATATATAAAAATTTATACTATGATTTATAGATTAAAATACTTAATTAAAAATACTTTATAATTTATAAAAAGTAGTTTGATTTATAATGAGTTGTATAGATATATAGATTAAAAAGTATTTTTTAGAAAAATAAATATATTAAAATATTTTTTATAAGTTATAAATAATTTATTTTCCAAAATCATAATATAAAATAATTTTCTAAAAAAACGTGTTTTAAATTTTAATTCCAAACTTGTTATTTTATAATCAGAACTTGTTATTTCCAAATGTATTATTGTTATCACCTGAAACAAAGTGTGTTGTTACAAAAAAAACGTGTTGTTAAATTTTAATCCCATACTTGTTATTTTATAATCAGAACTTGTTATTTTCAAGTGTATTGTTGTTTCACCTGCAACAAAATTTGTTGTTATAAAAAAACATATGTTAAATTTTCATTCTAGACGTGTTATTTTACAATCAAAACTTATTATTTCCAAATGTATTGTGTTTATCACCTGGAACAAGAGTAAAGTAAATGAGTAACTTATTTTTTTTTTTTTGCATTATAATGTTAACAAAAAAATTGTTGGCTCAATGTCATTCCTAATTTTGGAAACAGTGGATCAAAAAAAAAAAAAAAAACAAAGAAGGCTGTCGGCAGTGGCTGGAACCGGCCGTCGGCATCGGAGCTCCGGCGGCTGTCAACCGGGGTGGGGGTGGTGGGGCTCTGGCGTCCGGCCGTCAGATTCCGGGAAGAGGCAATGGCTTTCTTTAAAAAAAAAAAATTAAAGAGGGGTATTTTGGTAATTTGGCCATGATTTCATAATGGCAATTTGAGACCCGGTCCTTGTGAGTAATTTCATTTATTCAGGTGACCTATCCGTCATTTTGCATATTGGAGGGTCTTTATTTGTCATTTCCCCAAGATGTTATGCAGACAATTAATTTATGACAACACAATTATGGCCGATTTTACAATGTTTAATTGATAAGCTTATCCATCGGAGGCAACTGGGGCTTAAGCTATGATATTATGAAGATACATTGTTTATTTAGTGGACATATCCTTATATAAATATACATAAAACAATTAAAATAATCACCAGATCTTATCTTGTAATCCAAAAATTAGAAAGGTAGGCAAGTGGCCCCCAAAAATTAAACACTTTCTTTGGTTCCTTTCTTCTCCCTCACTAATTCTAACCAAGTAAGCTTCTCTCTTGAACATTCTCATCCTTAATATTCCTAATTATCATACAAATAATTAATTGGTCATAAACATTACTAACAAATACATGCATCTTGAAAGCGTCACATCTAAAATGAATGTTGATCTGTGCGTGTCCAACATTACAAACACTCACAAATTTCAGAATCCAAAAGCTCTTGAATAAATATATAACATAATATAGAATACGAAGGATGCATATTTTTACTTTGTGTCCAGATAAAAGAATAATATTACCTCATATTTTTAATATAAGATTTATTTAACTAATTTAAATGAATTAAGAAAAACAGCTGAATTAGTTACTTGTTAAAAATATGTTGATTTTTCTAAAATAATCTTTTAAATAATTTGGATTGAGACTATTCCTTGATATACACTTTCTTAACATATGTAATTGGTAGAGTTAATTGGGATAAATAGAGTTAAGATGAAGTTTAACTTTGTACTGACTCTTATATAATTACTCGAGGTAATATTTGGCACCACCTGTTTTCTTTTTTTGACCGGCCCATATATGACACACATATATAAAAAAGAATAGGCGTCTCTCTGACGGGAGAAAGATTTCCTTGGTCGGCAGGATTTAGGAGCAAAACAAAAGATCGGGGATAAAATTCCATATGATGACAAGGCAATGATTCGACTCTGTAGTTTCATATATAAATATATATATATATAATTTTATGGGTGCATCAAAATACGGCCCCATATATATTTTTGTGTGTGTGTGTGTGTGAGATATGAAATGATTAAGATGCTTTATGTGGAAGATAAAAACAAAAATCATCGCCAAGTTATTAAATTATGAGTATGAATAGCCTAAATCCTGAAATGAAACATTAAAAACGTTTGGTTTATATATAGCCTTGGAATCTCTCTCCTTTTCTTTTCGCGTAGCGATAGATGGTTTGTACATATGAATGAAAAGAATCAAGTGGTTTTGTTAATTTGGTAGGGGGCCTCCCCGGGACATTGCCTCCAAATGATTGAAAAAGAGGCAAGAAAATTAACGTGGCGGCTACCACTTTAGAATATTCAACCATCCAATCTAAATCCATAATCCAGGTCATATAATAAATATAAATCCTAATATGACTTTGATTTCACACCTAAATATAATATAACATATTTCTCATATTTATTGAATTTTTTTTAAATTACTTTATTGATACTCTGTCAATCATAATCAAATAACAGAGGAAGGGAAGATACTACTCCCATCCTTAATATAAGAGTTAGCTGACTAATTGGGTGGATTGAAGAAGTTTGCTGAGTTAGTTATTTGTAATAATCAGGTATTATCTTTCTTAAAATACCCTTACTAATCATGTATTGGTTAAAACTACCATTTGATTGAACTTTTAATATGTGCAGCTATTACAAGGATATTTAGGAAAAAAAGAATAAATATAAGAGACAAAATGAATTAGGATCTTATATTTAGGATCAAATTGAAAGTCAAAGTAGTTGTTATATTAAGGATTGGGGTTACTATTAAGGAAAATGATTATGTTGTTTTAGAAAAAAACACATTGTATTTCTTTTAATTAACTTTTTTAATATAATCAAATTAATTAAATATAACTTGTATATTTAGTCAAGCTTCCTAATGAGAGGAGTTAAACAGATGGCTGGGTAATGTGAGCGGGCCATGTGATTATTAGCAGCAATAATATTCAAACTTGACGGCCTAGGAAAAGTCCGACACCACTGGAGATCGTAATTAATAATTCAAAGTCAACGCTCGGTCCGTGTAATTTCTGTCATTCTTTACAGTAACACCCAACAATGAGCATAAATATGGCTTTGCCAGGAGCATCTGGGAAATACCAACCAAGGCAATGTCGTATTGGGGGTCATCATGTCGTTCATTGTAATTAAGAGACCACGGCATGCTTTATGCCATTCAAATTATATATATTGGCAGCTCATTGAGAAGCAAGCATGCCAATCTATTTCAGCTTAGAAGGGTTGGCGGAGTGATAGGCACTGCCTGCCACAGCTAAGCCATTGACTGAATTGTCATTCTCATGAGAGAATATGTGCCATTATTGTTTGCTCTCGCTCTCCTCTCTCTTATCGATTCTTTTTTTTTTTAAAAAAAAAAGAGTCAGCTTCTTATAGTCAACAACAAAGTTGGTTATACCTGTCGCTCCTTTTGCAATTTTCTTTTCCTCCCTTTTCTTTCTTCCGCCTAATTGCGACAAAACTTAGATCAAAATCTTACTTCCCATCATCATCTATGAAACATGCCTGATTCTTGATATTCCATATAATTAATACATATGGAAAAAAATATGTACTCTCTCCCATTTGTAATATAATATAAGAGCTAGTTTGAAGATAAATTTAATTATAAATATAAAATTTCAATTCACTTTTTTTCCACCCCTTATATTCATCATTTTTTGTGAACTAATTTATCTAATTTAAAATTGATATATTATCTAATGCTCTATGAGGGGAATTTTAAGGAGATTACGTCTGTAATTGTTGTCTACATCCCTTCATGCTGGGAGCTCAAGTTGGTGGGTACTCTTCTTCATTTGGTGTGTGAAATGACAGTTTTTCCACAAAACTATTTGGGTCATTACCGAATAAGCCCAGCTGAAGACCACAAATCGGGCCATGTGGCCCAAAATGTGCTGACAAAACCAAACGCTTAGAAAAAAAAACAAGAACCAGTAATGTGCTGGCTTATTTCTTTCATGATGCTATCCGCTTCTGGCAGAGCCACCAGGGCCTTCCTATTCGTCAAATGCCCAGCAGCTCCAAAATCTTCACTTGGGAGCAGAACCCACTTTGACCTACGACGAGGAAAATCGCGTATCGCTTTCTCTTTTGATTCTGCTGCTCCCTTTCGCATGGGAGACCCTAGTGAAGGGGACATTACGTTGCAGGAATGGCAGGGATGGGGCACCACTTCCCCTCTACCCAGCATGGTTATGGAGATCGTTGAGGATTTGAAGGCCTTAGAGAAAGAAGTTGACGCCAACATGAGCTTTGGTGGTGTTGGTGGGAAGCTTCAGGTATTGCAATTAAAGCATTGCGATTATCCATTTCTCTTTGATCTTCTCGCATTGGACTCTATCAGATCCTCTTCACGTTTATTTTCACCGAAACTATAAAAATTGTTTGGAACGGGACATTGCAGTAAAAGGAAATATCAACTCTGTTTTCAAGAATGCCTCCCTTTTGCAGATAACTTCTCACTTTTGGAAGCTCTGTTGTAATTCAGGGAAATCTCGGAATTCAAGAAGATAAGAAACATCGAGTAAAATATCAGGCATTAGGTGATTCAGAAAAAAAGCTTCAATTTTACGCAGCTCGACAAATAGCATGTCGCTTGCTTGGAAGCAGAGGTTATCTTTGTCAGAAGGTTTAAATGTAGCGGTGGTTAGAACATGATATTGATGAGTGATGATGCATCAAGCGTCATCCTTCTCTTCTTTAAAATTTCACTTACTGGATATTTTATTAATTGACACAGTGCTGGCTTCCTATGGAGGATTGTATGTGTTCTAAAGTCACATCTCGTTCTCTGGGGCCTGGAGTAGATTTTGGTTGTATATGCATCCAAAGGTTTAGCTATACCTGGTCATTTTCTTACAGTTCTCTTTTTATGTTTTGTCATTTTACTTATATTTACGTTTTTGTCGTCATTTGCAGGATTTCCTACGACAAAACAACACTGGAAAGATATTGTGGCAAGTCTTTGGTGTTGAAGCAGCAACTTTATGCCTTTTTGGTATCCCTGTACATGAAGAAATCATGTGGGACTCATTTAAATTGGCAGGTCTCTCAATTTAAAGTAATCAACATTGCTTATGGTAGCTGTTTATGATATAGTCAAATGATACGTTTGAACTAATATTTTACTCGTACACAATTTCGTGTCTAATATCTCTTGTGGTAGTCTTTCCAAAGTTGGTTATTATATTCATTTGGATACAAGTAGGCGATTATTTTGTTGTGTTCTGCCTTGTCATGTTGGGTCAACATGTTCTGTGTTTATAGCATCCAAATCTGGTGATTTATGTTAATTGCTTTGGCGCTAACTTTGTTATAAATTCAGGAAAAGGCAATGTTTGGTGCCTCTATCCCAACAAGAGTGCAGTAGTAAAATCAGTTCAGGGTGCATTTGGTCAGGAACTAATTGGAAATTATGGAATCACACTAGCAAAGGTTATATTTTTTTTTGCCCTAATATTATGCTCCTTACTGTACCTTCTTCTGTTAACCTGCAAGCTGGAGCGTTGATTATCTCTGACGTTGAGGGGTGTGTTGGAATGCAGCATGAAGCAGTTTAATCTATTTCAACCTGGTCAAATTCATTTTTTTTTGATGATATTGAATGTCAAGTCGTCAACCCACCTTTTGTAATTCCGTTTAGCCTACCAGGTTGAATATCATTTTAGTATCACGTTCTTGCAAATGAGAAATATAAATTTTGATCTCTCTCATTGCTTGAAACTCCTCCTAGCATCCTAGCTGCACCCTCCTTATCAGATTTTATGCTAAAATATAAAAATTACCTTTGGATTGTACTTGGATCTACCACTAGAAGATTTTCTAGAAAGACGTGAAGAATTTAAAGAATATTCATAATTTAAGAATAGCGTTACACTCCCTGAAGGCCTGAAAAAACTAAAAGTCCAAATAAGGTGGATGACTGGCATTACAGTGACAACTGAGTTGGATGGTTATTTGAAGGGAATACATTACAGTTGCATAGGATTGTAAGAATTCAAAATCGATTTCTAGTTAATGGGAACGACAATTCTTCTTGTTGCTGATAAATAGTGCATGTACCTAATGAATTTATTTTTTTTTTGCGTTAAAACAGACAAAAGAAGATAAGACTCTGAATTTTATTTTAATTGATGGCACATGGAGCAATTCAGCAGCAATGTTCAGGCGTCTTCAGGTAAATTTTGCAATAATTTTGTTTGTTTACAAGGTTTTCATGATTGAATCCTCGTTGAATAGGATCATTATCTTTCTCCTCTTTGTTAGGTGCTAAGATATCATAAAATCCCATTCTACTGCAGGTTCTAATATTTTTAAATGACTAGTGAAACAGAATAACCATGTCTTTTATGCTATCCATGCACAACAATATCCTATGGGAAGGAACATTTCAAACATGTTTGAATCCAAGATTATTCTTACAGACTGCATTCTAGACCATGCCTGTTAAAATCTGGCTTGGATTGTACATTTGCTTATCACATGTTACTTTTGTTTTGTTCAAGTTGATCTTGGCAAAATTCGCTCAGGAAGCTTTCTTACTTTCCTGACTGTTGTCTTCGTGGGCTCTTTTAAGTTCATATATGAGTTGTCGATTGTTAAGAAAGCGAAAGAAAATTTAACAAGAGTTCAACTATTGGTTATGGATTTGAATAGAGAAGCTACCTTAGACCTCTAGTTATAATCTGTTAATTATGCTTTTGAGGAGAAAAGTGAGCATTTATGCCTGACAATCTTTAAAGCCAGTACATTAAAAAATATCACCTTATAGATGATTCTGTGTAATACTTGATCTTATTTGGGTCATGCATCTTTAGGATGAGAGTGCCCATGTGTTATGTGACATTAAAACATAACCCTAAATTTCTCTGAAGTTTTGAGTTTCTTCGATTTCAATGAATGAAACTGATGCCGCCTGCTGAGAAATCTCTCTGGGATGTAGACACGTTGGGGAGTGTAATATTCTTTAGGAACTGTGGAAAGGATGGAGTGTAGTATTCACACTCTGTTGATGACACCTCCATGGGAGCTGGCCGTGTAATAGATGTGCTATTTGAATGAATTTGTTCAAGTTGGAACACTTTTTACCAAATAGAGCTCTTTTGATGCTGAAACTTAAGTGTTGTGAAATTTTATTCTCATCAGGACCAAGCAAACTCTATATGGGGAGATGAAGACCTTCCTTGTATATCATTGACTCCGGGTGCTTCTGCCATGCATAAACTTAGGTGAGAAAGTGAAAATACTTGTACCTTTGCTGTGTGAACTCTTGGCATCTTCTTCTTCCCTGTGTTGCTCTCCTATCGTGGTTATAATCTCTTTACTTTGTGATCCATGACCATTTACGGTATTCTACTCAATTTCAGGCCCCCCCAACCACCTGGGACCGTACCTGCACAGCAGCGGCCGCTGCTGGCCTTCTCTCTGAGCTTCAACTTCTTCCACAGTTTAGCTCTATTGGATTGGATAAGCAAGCTGAAGCAGTGGAAGATACTTTAACAGTCCTATTAGAAGCCCTTAACAACCGACGCCTTCGCATGGGCAGGTCCATAACCCGGAAAGTAAGACATACCAGCAACATTAGATAAAAGATCTAACCAAGTTTCCTCTACCAACTTGGGCAGCATGCCCTCTTGCAATTTTGGATATGAGTAAATTGTTAACCATGTACATGTAGATGTAGGAACAGTGAGGGACATGTTGGAAGTGGTGGCTAATGTTATGTATGACAGGAACCTTAAAAAGTTTTCCATATCTAAATCTGATGTTGGTTTTAAAGCCTTCGATTTCAGTTCACAGAACCTCCTCCTAAATCTTCCTTACTTTTGCCATTTCCGTATAGAACTATATTACGGGGATGTGATATTAATCGTGACCTGCAAAAATCACTTTCAGCGTGGATCCGCTTCAATTTTTGCAGCGTTCCGCCTCATCTGCTTCGGTTGCATGGGAAAAAATACAAGTTTAATAAAGCTTTTCAGGATCCGGATGCTTTGGATTACAAGTGAAGCTTCAATCGTAGCTTTTTACGAGATACTGAATGATGGGATTGTGTGCGTGTACCGAATACCCAAGAGTTCATAATGCGGGTTACTATAATTAGCTACTCATAAAAGAAAACTAAAATTGATCCCCAGTTATCTTTTCTAAATTTTCATGTCGATAATTTTTGAGAAACTTGAATATATATTTTAGTGATATAAATTGTAACAATTATAAATTGTGCAATTCATATGTTGATATATTAATGAGGTACAAAGTGTGCAGA